CTTTTTTTTCTCCCTTCTCCCTCCTCCCTCCTGTGTTCCCTTTTCCATGTGAACATATTCCTGTTTCCCAGTGTCCCTCCTCTGTTATGCTCCCTATGTACCCTTGGGGTTTGTCACCCAAGAAAAACAGTGCTATGGTTTGTTTAAACTTGTGTGTCTGATTTATTTCACTTAAAATTATAGTCTTGAGACCCATCCATTTTCCTATAAATGAGTCAAGTTTGTCTTTTTTACAGCAGAGTAGCACTCCATTGTGTATAAATATCACATTTTCTTTATCCATTCAACCACTGATGGGCATCTGGGCTGTTTCCAAGATTTAGCTGTGACAAAGTGTGCTGCTGTAAACATGGATGTGCAGTATTACTGTGGTATGATGCTTTTAACTCTTGGGAAGATACCAAAAAGGGGAACACTGGGTCAAATGGAACCTCTAGTTTCAGCTGCTTAGGGAATCTCTACACTGATTTCCATACTGGTTGTACCACTTTACACTCCCATCAGCAGTGGAGAAGGGTTCCTTTCTCCCCAGCCATTGCCAGCATTTGTTACTGGTTGATTTTATGATAGCCATTCTTTCTGGGGTGAGCTGGAATCTCAGTGTTGTTTTAATTTGCATTTCTTGAATGACCAATGATGTTGAACCTTTTTTTCTTATATTTATTTGTTATTTCTACTACATGTGAGAAGTGTCTATTCATTTCAGATGCCTTTTTTTTGGATTGGGCCTTTAAATTTGGGCAGGTCTGATTTTTTGTGTTGTTCTGTGTATATTCTAGTATTAGTCCTGTTTCTGAGGAGTTGCTGGTAAAAACTTTTTCCCATTCTGTGGTTTGTCTCTTCACCCTATTGGGAATTTCTTTCGCTGTGCAAAAGCTTTTTAATTTAATTATGATCCCAGTTGTTGATTTTTTGTAACATTTCCTGTGCAACTGAGGTTTTGTTTATAAAGTCTTTGCCTACAACCTATGTGTTTTAGAAACTTACCTATTCCATCTTCCAGCTGTTTCTCTTTTTATATTTAGATCTTTTATCCATTTGGATTTTAGTTCAGATTTTTGGCATGTGGAAAGCCAGTTTTCCCAGCATCAGTGACTAAGATCAAAGATATTTTGAGTCCTGAATCCACAGGTGTTATAATTTCTACAATTCAGAAATTTTGCTGGGCATAGTGGTACATGCCTGTAATTCTAGCACACAGGAGGCAGAAACAGGAGGATCACTGTGAGTTTGAGGCCAGCCTGAACTATATAGGAAGACTTTGTCTTAGAAAATGCCCCAAAAAACAAGTATAACCATCAAAATCTTCAAGTTGCCTTTTTAAACTATATGTACATACATGAAATTGTGGTATCCTCTTCTAGTACTGAGATATTAGTACTGATTATAATAATATAAATCAATTCGATGCTTAATTATATCCCAAGAAACATACCAGGTATTTTAATGTTGTCTTACTTTACTCTTATTTTAATAAGATTCCATGGTACAATTACTGATGCCATCGATCTGCACTTGACAGAGGGCAAAACTGAGGACCCAGGAGATTAAGGATCTTGTTTAAAGACTTGTAATTATTGTGACATAAGTGTTTCAAATCTAGGTTTCTGTAACTATAAGCTAAAGTTCTTTGTATAGTGCTATTTTCAGACCTCCGCTGTATAAAATATCAGAGCTCCACTGTATAAAATAGCAGTATCCACTTACTATAAGTGTATTACTTAAGCTAAAGTAAAGCAGAAGTCATTTAAGAGAATATGATGCTGTCTTACTCAACAAAGCATTTCAGAATTGGCAGTTATTGCTGACAGTTGCAGCCTCAGTGTCCAGTTTATTTCTGTACTTTGTTTCAGAGAGAGTCGTGATTTGTGTAGCTAACTAAATGCAAATTGAACTGAGTTGTGTTGGGAACCACCATTCCTGCATCGTTTAAGTCCTTGATGGTGGCACTAGTTTCTTCATTCTCACAGGACTGCAGTATTGCTTTTGATTTTTTGTTTTGTTTCGTTTTGCTTTTTCCAGTACCGGGAATCGAACTCACAACCTTGTACTTGCCAGGCAGGCGCTGTGCTGCTGAGCTAATTCCCCAGCCCTATTGTTTTCCTAGGTAGAGGCAGTTCTAAAGATTTCCACCTGTCCCTTTTTAACCATAACACAGGTGAACCACGGGTCAGGGAACCAGTATGGAGATTCTTCCAGGTGTTGAGTACCTGTTCCAGTTATGCCTTCTGAAGCTGAGGACGTAACAATAGGATGGGCTTGGCAACCCTCTTTGAAATAGTTCTGTGCTAAAACTCCATTGACGCTTGGCCTCCAAAAGTCCTTACTCTGCCTGTTGGACCTCAGTGATATTTTAGATCTCTTGGAATTAGTATTAATCCAGAACCAGTATCCAGTAGCCCCTTGAAAGTCTGATATTTCTTTTTCCCAAAGTAGTTGCTTTGGTGGAAGGCTGGGAGGAAGAAATGTGGTTCTCGTATAGGGTAATTCCTCAGTGTCGTTAGGGCTGATGAACGCATTGGGGGAATGACCATCTGCGCTGTGGCCAGGTCGTCAGTGAGCGTGTGTCGGGGATGAGGCCTGAAGGCTCACCGCTCAAGCACACGCTGTGTGGGGTAGCACCCGCACAAGCTGTGTGTGGTGAGGCAGTGTTAGCATAGATTCATCTTGCTGATACATTCTGAAACCAGTACTCTGTATCAGTCCATGTAGCTGAAGTTTTCTACGATGTTAAAAGGTCTCGGCCAGATTCTGCTTTCTAGTACAGTATTTCTGCCTTGTGGCAAAAGAGCCCCTCCTTTGCCAGCTCTTTTAACCTGTTTATTTCACTTGAAGGCCATGTATTTCCTTATGCCTCATTTTTCACGTCGTATCTCTCTGGGGCTGCCCTACTTTTACATCAGATGGCTATAGTGGTTCAGTTATACTATGTTTTTCTACTTTATTTTCATTGCTAGAGAAACTCATACGCTTCCATTAGATGTCCTCAATATCTGGGACTTCTCCCAGTGTTAGAATAACTGCGTGGGATCATATTCTTTTGACGAGGGTAGTAGTAGCTAACAGGTAGGGGCCCCTTACTCTTCACATCATGACACTGGTATCAAACTCTTACCTGCGTAGACTTCTTAAATGTACCTCACACCTGTCTGTGTCTTTGTGTTGATGGCCACTGCCCTAGTCCAGTCCATTGTCGCCTCTACCTGGACCTTACTGACTTCTAGTTTTGGCCCCTTATTCTCACTCTTGCCTCTCCTCCCACCCCTACATGGGCTGTACAGATAAGTGTTCTTCATTGTGTATAATATTATGTCATTTTCCTTTTTAAATCTATGAAATAAATTTTTAATTACATTGAAAAGAAAACCCAAAATTTCTGCCAAATTCTTCAGGGTCCCACTAGCTCCCTACTTAATTGGTTTTTTTGTTTGTTTGTTTTGTTTTTGTTTTTGTTTTGGTCTTTTTAGAGACAGGGTCTCGCTATGCAGCTCAGGCTAGCCTTGAGCTCACTTCATAGCCCAGGCTGGTCTCAAACTCGCAATGATCCTCCTGCCTCAGCCTCCCGAGTGCTGGGATTACAGGCATGCACCACCATGCCTGGTACATATCTTATATATTTTTTCAGTGTTTTTCTCATTGGTTGTTTCTAGTTTTAGCAGTATACTCAAATGCTCTTTCTCATGGTTGGCTGAGGTTGATGCTATGCACTTACAGATCTTACATGACATAAAAAACTGGCAGTTACTATGCAATAAAGTTGACCTATAGGTAATGATTTTTATTTAGTTGACCATTGTTAATCTACCTCGTACTGCTTGAATTTTTTATTTGAATAAATTTGGTAGCCAGTTACCTCATTATAAAAACTAGTAATTGAAATTTACTTTTCTTTCTTTCTTCCTTTTTTTTTTTCTTGTTTTTGAGACAGGGTTTCATTATGTAGCGCAGGCAGGCCTTGAGCTCACTTACGTAGTGCAGGCTGGCTTCAAACTCACAGTGATCCTCCTCCCTCAGCCTCCCAAAGTGCTGAGATTACAGGCATGCGCCACCACACTGAGTTCATAATTTAGCCTTAAAATAGTAAATACACTGTAATCCATACTAGCTGTCCTTTTAATGGAAGTGTATATCTGAGATATCATACAAGAATGATGATAAGAAGTAGAAATTAAGATTGAATATTAAGAACCCCAGGGTTACTTCTGCGCAGGTGTTCCTCTGTTAGTGTGGTGTTGTAGGCCAAATGGAGTAGTTCAGATTCGAGGTGTTTCAAAGTCCACTGCTCAGTGAGCCAAGCTGTAAGTATCTAAAGTTCACACTTCTTAAACACCCACAGTCTACATCTGTTTACTTTTCTCTAACTTACAAGATTTTACCTAAAAAGATTTAAAGAAAAATTTTAAATGATGCTGTAAGTAACAAGTGCTAAAAATAAATTTTTGTTTTTATTTTATTTATTTATTTTTTAAATAAATTTTTAAATGTTTGTAAAATGCTTGTCATAGGCCAGGCTTTACTTCAGCTTGTGTGTGTGTGTGTGTGTGTGTGTGTGTGTGTATGTGTGCACACGTGCGCGTGTGTGTGTTGGGAGTGTTTTGATTAATGTGATCACATGATATTACACTTTTATTTTTAACTATCAGTGATTGGGCTGGGGAAACTTATTTTCCAGGTTGAAGCACTCAATAAATTAAAAACTTTGAATAGTTTAATCAAACTGAATGCCGTGAAGCTAAACAGAGCGAAGGGGAAGGAGGCCATGCACACTTGTCTGAAGCAGAACGCCTACCGGGAAGCCCTCTCCGATCTGCAGTCGCCGCTGAACCCCTGTATCATCCTCTCGGAGCTCTAGTAAGTGATCCGCTGTGCTTGCACGTGAACAACAGCGATGCGGGAAGGATTCTTGAGTCGCTGCTTTGGGGGAGCAGTAGGGCCAGCTGTCAGCCCCGTAAGTGGAATGTCATGAAGGCAGGTAAACCTGAAAGTCTTCAGAGCTTGAAGGACTAGTAAAAGTTACTAAAAGTTAACTTCCTATCAACTGTATATAATGAAATTTATTTTCTATATTACTGGTTTTTAATGTTGAACATCCTTTATGAGCAAAATGTTGGAAACCAGGAAAGTTACTTACTCGTTAACTTTTTTTTTTTTTTTTTTTTTTGAGATGGTCTTGCTGTGTAGTCCAGGCTGTTCCTGGACTCACTGCATAACCCAGGCTGGCCTCAAACTCAAGGCAGTCCTCCTGCCTCAGCCTCCCAGGTGCTGGGATTACAGGCGTATACCACCACTCCTGGCTGACCCTTTCAAAACAAGAGCTGGGATGATTTTGGAAATTTATTTCTCACTTTCTCATTCATACAAATGTAATAATGGAAAAAATTTACATTCAGAATCAAGAATTATCTTACGATAGTCCCATATTAATCCAGTGATACACTTTTAATTTTTCTTCACTAAGTATACCATACAGTTAAGGAAATGTATGGAAAGGAGAAGTTCCCAGTGAAAGCAGTGAAAAGGGCAGACTCCAGGGTTCGAGCCTAGCCCCCCTGGCATCAGTATGTGCCAGTTAAAGCACCCTCCTCCGGGTTTCTCTTTCCACAGAAGGTCTTCTCGCTCTGACTTCTGCAGATCCTGAAAGGGCCGAGCGAGTGTCTTTCCCAAGTCTAATGTGTTGGGGCAGAATCACACTGTTACCCTGTCACACTGAAATGGGCTGACTTTCCCTCATTTGGTTACAGTATTGAAAAGTGCAAATACATGGATTCCAAGATGAAGCCTTTGTGGCTCGTGTACACCAATAAGGTGTTCGGTGAGGACTCGGTCGGAGTGATTTTTAAAAATGGCGATGGTAAGTACTGAGGTTTTCATAGCACCAAACTCCTTACAGCTTTCCATTTGCTGGTAATTTGCTTTGTTGGGAAGGTGTATGTAAATGTATAACAGTTGGCAACCAGGACGTGGCTGTCAGTGGTCATGGGTCAAATTAAGCATGTCATAAATCACTCCTCCCCTTTTTTCCTCTTTGGAAAATGAATTCTGTGTTTCACTTATAATTCACTGTTACTAATAATTTTCTTTTTTTTCCTCCTACGAAATACATAGTCTTATTTCTTTGACAGAAAACTTGTGAAATGTAAGCGAATGTTTCAATAATGTAGTTACATATCCTTTTTCAGTGATAGCAATATTAGTTTTACTGCTATACTTTTATATATATATTTATTTTCTTTTTTTTAAATTTTTTTATTTTTTTGAGACAGGGTCTCACTATGCAGTTTAGAGCTGACCTTGAATTCACTATGTAGTCCAGGCTGCCCTTGAACTCAGGTCAATCCTCCTGCCTCAGCCTCCTGAGTGCTGGGATTATAGGCATGTGCCATCACACCTGGCTCTAGTTTTATATTTTAACTAAACTATCTAAACTTTGCAGAGGCAATGCCTCTGAAATAATGAGCAAGAAAATGTGGTCATGGTTTGGTAGTTGTGTGATCGTAAGCAAGTCCCGTAAATCTCCCTGAGCTGCAGCCTCTTGATGCCCACGAGAACTGTCGGAGCTGCAGGCCAGTACCACTGGGGAGAATTACATGGTAACGCACGTGAGTGTGTTTATCTGTGCTCACTGTACTTCTTTACAGAGAATTCGTAATGTTCTGCTAGACGGTTAGTCCCACTTGACTATACAACAGCAAGTAAAAACTGGTCAGGTACTTCTTTTTAATTAATTAAGTTTATTGGTACATTTTAGATACGCATAATGATCACATTCATCACAGGGAGTTTGTGCCTGTACATGGCGCATCTTGATTCTTCTTTCCCCACTCCCCTCCCCTCCTCTAACGCCTCTTCCCCTCCTTATTTACAAAGCTTTATTTCCATTTTTTCCTTTTTTTCTCATTTTTCTCTTTCCTTTCCTTACCCCCTCCTGCCTCTCTAGTTCTCCTCCCCATTTGAACATTTTCTTCCTTTTTCACAGTTTCTATTATACATTTTGGTCCTTAGTTACACTTTCAATCTCACACCAAAGAAACAGTGTAGCATTTAAACATGTGTCAGATTTATTTCACTTAAGCCTGTGGTCTCAAGGTGCATCCATTTTCCTACAAATGTCTCAAGCTTATCCTTCTTTATGGCAGAGTAGTACTCCAGTGTATAAAAAAACCACATCTTTATCCACTCATTGGTTGATGGCCATTAGGCTGTTTCCAAGATTTATCTATTACAAACTGTGCTGCTATAAACATGGGTGTGTAAAAGAGTACTTTTACGTGAAAGTACTCTTGGATATAAAAAAATTAAGAACTCAACTATTACAGCTTTGTGGGCTGGTAATACACTTATGTGACTTTTAAGAACTTCCTAAAAGCAAACAAGGAAAAAATTGACAATGTGGTATAATACAAATGCAGTGTGATAGTTTTCCAGCATCCGTACAATTAGTACAGTAACTTACACATAATAAATGATTTTTAAATTTTTACTTAATTTCTGAAATAAATATTGTAGGGGCATGTTAATCAGTAAGCCCATTTGATATATTAAATAGCTCAACGTTAAAGTTTTACCCAGTGATTTTAATGGTTTTAGTTCAGTCTGACTGAATTATCCAGTGTTACAAGGCATGAAGTGGAAATGTTTATAATGAAGCAGCTCTCCCCCTTAGATTTACGTCAGGATATGCTGACTCTCCAGATCCTGCGCTTGATGGATTCTCTCTGGAAAGAAGCTGGGCTGGACCTTCGGTGAGGTTTCCAGTGAACTTACCTATCTGTGTTACATGCCTCCCACAAAATTCCCAAAACTTCTTGTTGATTCCTTCTCTCTTGATAACAGTGGTTTTTCCTTAGATTATTTAAGCACTTTCAAATACATTATCTGATTTAAACTTCATCAACCCCAAAACTATACAGTGCTGCTTAGACGCTTTCAGTGTTATAAGAATACAATGTATATGTGCATATCTATGTGTAAGTGTTATACAGCGTTGCTTAGACAAAGAATAATGTGAACTTTTGGTAAGGATTGAACAAGCCAGGTGTGGTGGTGGACACCTGCAATCCCAGCACTCGGGAGGCTGAAGCAGCAGGATTTCTGCAAGTTTGATGCCAGCCTGCACTACAAAGTGAGTTGAAGTCCAGGCTGAACTACATAGCAAGATTCTGTCTCACTCAAAAAGACAAAAAAAGAAGAAAAAACTGGGAGGGGATTGAACAGACATTAAGAATCACATTCCAACCAAAGATTCTGAAAAATAAAAAGTTTATTTTCAAAGTTGAAACAGTTGTTTATCATGCCTTGTATTGGGCTCTTTGCATTTTTAATGTCCTGTAAGCTTTACAACTCAGTGAGATTTGGTTACTTCTTTTTAACACATGAGAAGATTAAGGTGACAGAAATTTTAAAGGGAAGTTTACAGAAATATTAAGTAGCAGAGCCAATTCAAATCCAGAACTGTCCAATGTAAATTAATGTCTTTATTATTACCAGTCTAAGTGAGAAAACAATTGTGGTAAGATATGTCTAATAATCCTTTGTTTATCAAAAGTACAGTGGCCTCCCCCACCTTTTTGGAGACAGGATCTTGCTATGTAGTCAAGGGTAGCCTTGAATTCACTCTGTAGTCCAGGCTGGCCTCGAACTTGTGGCAATCCTCCTGCCTCAGCCTCCTGTGTGATAGGATTACAGGCATATGCCACCCTACCCGGCAAACTCTTATATTTAAAAAGAAAAAAACAAGTTTTCTCCTTCTAGTTCCTTCTAGATTATATTTTCTATCTCTGTAATAGTAGAAAGAGCAGTTTGCCATGATTTTTTTTTTTTTTTCCTTTCATGGGACTATACATGTGACAGGAATAAAAAAGATAATTCATCCCAAAAGAATGTAGTGACTATCATAGGGACACTAAGGGACACTAAGGAGGAATTTTCAGAAAGCTGTTTAAAAACAGAATTAGTAGTTAGGAATAGTTGGTGATAGTTGAAGTTTTGTGTTCAGCCTCTCAGAAGGAATGCTGCATGGGTTAAAAGGAACGGGTCAGTACAAGAAACCCTCTGCTTGAGAACCATAAACCTAATAGGGCCTGAGTTATGTGTTTTGGTAAAGAATTTAAATTTTATTGGCACACAGCCAATTGTTTACCTTATTTTCAGTGGCTGCTGTTATGCCACAATAGCAGAGTTAAGTTTGTGGTACCTAAAATACCTCCTGTATGGCCAGTTTGTAGCAAAATTTTGTTGACTTCTCCTGAATAACAGAAACAGCTGGTGAAATGTTCTGGTTGAGCTCACAGAAAAAAGGAGAGGAACTTCAAGCTTAGGCTCAGTAACTTCTTTTCCATTTATAAGATTCCATTCAGAGTCCATTCACAGGAAGAGTGTTACTGAGTTGTGAAGCCTGCGTTAAAGACGTGTCCTGGGCTTCTCACTCATCAGCCTAAATGAAAACCTCAGCCAAGTTCTTCTCTCTTAATTTTTATTTTACCCATTCTCCAAATGCAGAGCACATGAAATGCTTTGTGACCTCAGATGATGTGAGAGTGCCAGAAATAAATTCAGTGGTTGTCTGCTGGGAAATGTTGTGTGTCTAACAAGAAAAGGAACTTGTCTGTCCGTGGGGATCTTTCTTTGCTGACTTTTTGTCCTCTGACCTCATGGTTTAAAAAAATATAAAGTAATTCTTTTTGAGTTCATTTTCAAACCAATGTCTTTTTCTCAGCAAACCATTTTTATTGTTTCTATAAATATATGTGCTCTAGTGCTCTATTGTGTTTGTTTTTCTTTTGGCCAGCTGTTCAGGTTAAACTGGGTCATGCAGCACACACTCTTTTAAGTTCAATCTTTGAGTACCTTCTATATATCACTATTGTAGTACTTGTAACAGTGCCATTTTTGCATAAGTGAAAATTTGTATTATACATTTTAACTTTTCTCTATTTCCAAATACTCTTGTATAGTTCATGTCACATCATTTTATTTTCCTTTTTTTTGACACAGGTTCTCACTGTATAATTCAGGCTGGCCTGGACTCACTGTGTAGCCCAGGCAGGCCTCCAGCTCACAGTGATCCTCCTGCCTCAGCCTCCCGAGCACCGGGATTACAGGCGTGCGCCACCGTGCCCAGTGTTCATGTCACATTAGCACGTTTATAAGCCATCAATGTATTGAGGTGCCTTGACCACCTTTGGAAACACTTGATTTTAGCCAAAAGACTGAGAAGCTGACCCTTTGGCAAACAAATAGTAGTCCTCCAGTGAGGCTTTTCCATCCAGTCTGATGAGCCTTCTCCATATAAATCTGTCTGGCCTTTGGTAGTGTAACAGTCCTCTGCATCTTCACCCCCCAGAAATACATGTGAGGTCATTTTTTTTTTTATCTTTTTTTTTTTTTTGGTTTTTCTCCGGTACCGGGAACCGAACTCACGACCTTGCGCTT